GTTGGAATAGGTCAGAGAATTCTCGGAGGGATTTCTTTAGGGATTTACAACTTGTGCAGTTCCTGCTATGTCTGGATTCCTGATGGGTAGTGAATTAATTACTAGTTTATAGAAACTAAACAGCCACCTCCTACCCCCTACAATGGGAGAACCATTGAGTCGGACTGGAAGGGACCTGAGAAAGAAACAAATCAATCACAGTTCACTCCATCACTCTAGTAAGGACGGTCCTCACCTAGTGATAAGTGCTAATGCTTGATTTTGATCAAACCAGAATTATAGCATCATTATTTGAAGATGTTGGGAGAGAGGAAGCTATGATAATGAGGTAGACACAGAGCGTAGGGTAGGGAGTAAAGAGTGAAATTCTTTTTCCATAATGCACAGTTAACAGGCAATGCATAATACTGGAAAATTCCTGTTGTTAGCTCTATGTACATAAGTATCAAAATATGCAACTGTATAAATCGAGAAAGGGTAGATCAGTTCTTCTTATTTTGTAACATTGCTAAAAATCTGTAAAACTGTGGCCATTACCAGGTATATTACATGTCGTGGATTTTCCCTCTGGTGAAACATCCTTTGTTGTTAAATGGAGGAATTGTGATGTAGTACCACCTCCAAGGTCAACTCCCATATGCCTTATTTTTGGTTGTTTCTGGAGCCATAGTATTTAGAATTTTTGTTAAATAAAGCAGTAAGTGCTCCAGGCAGATTTTTACCATCTTAGTCCTAAATTGCATCCCCTCATCCCAACACACAGCATGCCCCGCTAACCAGACCTCCAAGGCTAATCCATGCTCAGTGACCCAGGCCCCGTCCTCCTGTGGTCACAAGGGAGGTCCCTGGGAGTCAGGGAAAGGAGAAGCTGAGAAATGCCTTGAGTTATTACCCAGGGAAATGATGGGAAAACTTCTTATAGATTAAAAAGTGTCGTGTGTTATCTGTGGCTACCCTATCATTCTAGCACGTTGAGCCTCTGATCCCAGGACTTATAACATCTGTTAATCTCAAACTAAATATTATGTGGTCTAATAATTAGTCTTTTAAAGAAAACAACTAAACTTCACATCAGAGTAATCGGCATTTTGGGTTACTGATTAAGTGAAAGAAAGATGATTTTTATGGGAGCACCATTTTTTTTCACATACAATTAAGTTTATTGTCTCATTCTCATTGTTTACACAGGGGAAACTGTGCAGATTCCTTTTGGAGATGACTTGAATACTGAGCATTCTATCAAATGCATAATTTAACATGTATGTGTTTTTAATTTTGTAGAGTGTCTGTTGAGTGTCTTAGGATCTGAAGTTTTGGAAACATTTACCTTTTCCTAAAGGGAAGGAGCCCCTTGTGATATTGCCCTATGTATGGTGTACAGTAAGACACACCATGTGTTATCCTCTCCCAGGAGTACCAACCTTGCAACACGAACCCGTGTCCTGAGCTGAAGAAGACCACACCCTGGACACCCTGGACTCCCGTCAACATCTCTGACAACGGTGGCCACTATGAGCAGCGATTCCGATACACATGCAAAGCCCGCCTGCCTGATCCGAATTTGCTGGAAGTGGGAAGACAGAGAATTGAAATGCGATACTGTTCTAGCGATGGAACCAGTGGCTGCTCCACAGATGGTGAGAAAGGATTCCACAGGGACTGACTCACTTCTATGGATAGGTCCATTTATAGCTTAGCAGTCTCTGTAACAATGATCCCTGTAGAGCAGAACTGACTTCATAGCAAATGGAAGGAAAAGACCCTCACTGTATTTATATAATATTTAATAGTATATGGAGGTGGCTCTATGAATTCAGCCCCCAAACTATTCTGGATCTATTCATGATGGATCCAAAATAGTTTGTAGAGATTTAACTAGTATCAGAAAATATACTGAGGAAGGATAAGTGATCATCCATAGATCTTGTGGCATTAAAATGTAAGTTGAAATGCACTAAAATGTAAGCCAAAAATAAGCTTTTCTTTCTTTATCCCTAAACTAGACAAAGGCAATGAAAGTGCATTTCTTTGCTTATACCTATAAAAGGATCTTCCTGTTAAAAAGCACAGTGTGTGAGAATACTATAATAATCTTTGAAATTGCTTTGCCCCTCATAATTGTGTAAATCCCTTGAATGCCCTATCAATCTCGTGGAGAAAGCCCTGAGGTAGGAACCAGGTCTGCCCTCTCTCTGCCCTGGCACCGAATGTCATCTCACCTTGGGCAAGTCACTTGCTTTCCCTGGAGCTCAGCTGTATGAGCTGCAGGAAAAGAAGTTGAGCCCGGCGGTCCCCCAGAGCTTCACACTTCGCTTTGTTCTTCACCTCTTTTTTCACTCTCACCTAACTGGACAAAATCTCTTCCAGTTTTGAACAGGACGTAGATTCTCGCAGATGGATCATCAGAACTATTTTTGATGAGAACGGTGATCATTTTATCTTGCACAACTAGGCCATTATCAGACACTCCTTAGCACCTTTGTGTTTGTGATTCTACTTTATTCTCCCAACACGAATGTGATATCTATTTAAAGTGTAGGCATGGTTAAAGTCATTTTTAGAGAAAGGGTCTTAGACCCAGAATGGTTGGCCTTGACAAATGCCACAGAGCTGGTGAGTCGCCATGTTGGACCGATCTGGTGGGATAAATTCGTGGAGGTTTGGTAAATCTCTGTGTCTCCACGAGGAAGGCTCTGCCACAGTGTGGCTCTGAGTGATGGCCACCAGCTGCTCTCCCGTCACTGATCCCACGACTTCTCCTGGGAACTGGTGAACAGCGTGGATGCTTGGAGGCCTGACAGTGGCAGTCAGGAGCCGCTTGTTTTCAAGTGCGCTTCCTACTCCTGCTGTTCCCGCTGATGTTAACTCTTCCCTTGTTCAGCGATTATACAAGCTGTTTCTTGAAAAATTAAAGAGTCTGCTTTCATGAAGGGTTTTATGTGAATAAATGTACTACTTAAACAAACACCACCCACCTCAAAAAATTAACAAGATGATAGTGGCACTTATTAATTTTGTAAAATATTTCTGTAGTTAGAAGAAAAGATATGTGATAAAATACCAAGAGAAAGATAACTGAAGACCCAATTTAAAGATCTGCATTCCATAAGGGATGATCCTGTGATCTCCGATGAAGGTGGTGAGATAAAATATAAGAATTTAAATATGAATTTTAGATATTTTTCAGAATTTTTTTCTGGTATAAATATATCCCATGAATCTTTTAAAAGATATGTATGTCCCATATAACTTTTTAAATGACTATGTCCTGTGCAATTTTTCAAGTATACTTATCCTAAAATATTATTTATTTTTTATCTGAAATTTATATTTAACCAAGCTTCCTGTATTTTGTTTGTTTAATCTCCAATTCATTTGTTCCCTTATTTCAAAATGGGCTGTGAACTATCTTATTCTTATGACATCAAAGTAAAAAAGAGGAAATGAATGATGGCATTTCTCTCTATATTAACTTTAGCCTCCTTTCTGAGCTTGTATATTTTATTTCTTCCATTAGATACATTTAAAACCAAAGCTAATATTAGTTAAAATGTTAATGATATGAACCTATGAAAAATTTAACACAGATTTATAAAAGATATTTTATATTTTTTGCAGAAGTGTATCATGGACATGGCTTCAAAAACTTTATCCTTCCTGTGGCTTAATGCCTTTGAGTTCCAAAGTCATCCTCATGTCTTGGTATCGGTAACTTGCAAACACAAAATTGGACTCATTTTTCTCTGGCCACACAAAATGAGGCTTAATTATACATAGATGTTTTTTGATTAACCCACAAAATACTGGTTCATCACAGAAAGACACTTCAATTTCTTTGAATAGTATCCTGCCTACCTTTCAGAGACAGATTTTCTAAGTAAACAATAAAGTTGCTTAACAATGCATAGAGCTATTGGCATATTTGCCTTTTCATGACTACACTTCCCTAGAATTCCATTGCATACTTTGAGAGTTATTTGTTAAAATGTGTCACATTGCCTACATTTGTGAAAATTATTGAATATTTATAAATATTGTGAGTAGGCATTTTCATCAAAACAAACACAAATTTTGACTATGGCTAATTAAATAACTTAACAAGTTAAAGTACTCAGAGTAGACCTCACAAATAACACAATTTTCAAAGACTCAGCTGTGATTCCTGCTAAGGCAACCCTCCCACTCCCAGCCCCCAGCACCCCAACTGCTGCTGCTACCTCCACAGGTTCCTGGGGAAACATATTTTGTTAGTAAGTGTGCTCTGAACTTCATAGGAGCTTTTGACATTTGGCAAGGTCATTCAGGGATGTGTTGGGTTTCAGGGCATGAGTTCTCTGGAGTAACAGGTACTTCCATGGTCTGTGATTCAGGAACTATTGACTTGGCACCTTTCACCAGTACTTCTGAAAGGTTAGTAGGCAAAGGAACAGGTTTAGAAAATGTCTGAATCATGTTTCCATTTCTCCAGATGATGTCCTCCAGGGCAATCACTACCCCATTACGTATGAGGAGAGTTTGTTGTAGAATTCTCAAGAGAAGTGAGAAAGTGAAGTGAAGAAGTTCCTTCAAAAAATAAATGAACTACAAATATAAGACCTAGTCATTGTGTAAGGACTTCTCCACATTCACAAATGGAGTTCTTATTTGCACCTTATTTAATAGCAACTGCAGGAAAGAAGCTGGAGTTATAGTAACTTATCACTCCACTGCAATGAATGATGGTATTTCTCTATATATTAACTTTAGTCTCCTTTCTGAACTTGTATATTTTATTTCTTCCATTAGATACATTTAAAACCAAAGCTAATATTAGTTAAAACCAAACCTAATACATAAAAAACCAAAGCTAATATTTGTTAAAGTGTTAATAATATGAAATTAGGAAAAATTTAGCATAGATTTAAAAAAGATATTTTGTATTTTTTGCAAAAATATATCATGGACATGGCTTCAAAGAACTTTTTCCTTCTTGTGTCTTAATGCCTTTGAATTCCGAAGGCCATCTTCATGTTTTGGTATTGATAACTTGCAAATAAAAACTTGTACTCAGTTTCCTCTGTTCACACAAAATGAGGCTTAGTTGTACGTAGATGTTCTTTATTGATTTTGGCTTTGAAGTATGACAAGAGTTCAACTGAATTTTAGAGGATAGTTGCAGAAATGAAGCCGACAGCTGATGCAGAATGGAAGTTGGCAAGGCCTGTGGTTACTCTGAGAACTCATGGTAGATTCATGCTCTGTTTCCTTGTCAGGGCTGTCTGGTGATTTCCTACGTGCTGGGAGGTACTCTGCCCACACCGTCAATGGGGCTTGGTCAGCCTGGACTTCATGGTCTCAGTGCAGCCGCGACTGCAGCAGGGGCATTCGGAACCGGAAGCGTGTTTGCAACAACCCCGAACCCAAGTACGGGGGCATGCCTTGCTTGGGCCCGTCTCTGGAATACCAGGAGTGTAACATTTTGCCATGCCCAGGTAAGTGGATTGCATAATCTGGAAAAGATCTGAAAAATCAGGGACCTCAGAAGGCCTTCTACTAATATTTTACTGAGGTTCACTCAGCTCCCTTTGTGTTTGGAATCTATGTTCTTGATAAATGTCTTAGGTGACATCATCACCTGTTGGATCAACCCAGAGTGAGAGAAAAAAAAGAGGAATAATGAAAGGGTTCTCGATTTGTAACCCACCCTCTCCAGCTGACCTGAAGCTAAATCCTGAATCATTTCAATGAGTATTGAAACTCTTCATTCAGCCCCCTTTACAAGCAACATCCATTTGCTATGCAGAACAGTCGGACAGGCAGGGCCAAGTGTGCATTACGTGGTCCCCCAGCACATTTGTCTTCAGGGACCGTTCCCTCCATAGTGCATTGGTGTAAAGACAGATATGATCTAGGCTGGATTGTATTCATTTTTTTTTTCTGGTTTTAAAGGAATTAAAACATTCCCCTGAGTTCTTCCAAGGATGTAGACTCCAGATGCTGAGCCCGATGGAGAAGCCAGCCCTTCGGACATGGGCCGGAAGTGTCTGGTGCCCCTGAAGTGAGCCAGCAGCTCCTTCTGCAGGCTGACCCCTTCCTGGGACACTGATGGAACGTCCTCATCTAGGGTCATGGGTATCAAAGCTGGTCCCCCAGGGCCGGGCCGGCCAGTTCCCAGTCCCACTGTGTCTTCTGCCACGAGGGTCCACCTCGTGCAGTCAGTCCTCCAAAGACACCACCTCTTTTCCCCTGCAGGCCTGACGGAGCTGTTTGTCGGGTCTTCCTCCTGAGGCCTGGCTTTTCATTCTGCTGAATTTACAAGCAAACGTGGGGTTGTTACACTGATCTAAAGGAACCCTCCAGCCAGGGCTTTGTGCTCTGACACTGCCCTAAGGCTCCTCTGTCTTTCTCTTCAGCACTCTAGCACCTGTCTCAGCTTTCCTCCTGCCTCGACTCAGCGTGAGGCCCCAGCACCTTATTAGCTTTCTCTTTCATCTTCCCACTTCCTGCTTCCCTGCCCAGAGCAGTCAGAGGATCTTTAGTCCACAGGTCATGACCATCCTGAGTCCTGGTCAGTGACTGTAGGTGCTGCCTTTGCCTTTTGTCTGATAGAAAGAGACTCCCGTGATGGTGTCACTCACTGCAGTGACCTTAGCCCCCAGCACGAGCCTCACACAGGTAGAACTGCCTATTGGTAATTGTTGAATGATGAGGAAACAGAGAGTTGGTTAATGAACCTTCCTTCACCCCAACTCTCAGCAAACCTTTTTGGATAACCTGCTGTGTGCTATTCACAGGGTATACAAAGACTAAATGATGTTGTCCAGGTCAGAAAGGAACTTAAGAGTTCAGTGAGGCGGCCTGCTGTGAATAATGTTAACCCAGCATGGTCACCCACTACTGGGTTGGTGACAAGATGCAATGGCAACTGGACCAATGACCCACTGAGCCAAGGGCCCACTGAGCCAGCCCTTGGGAATCCAGGCAGCTGCACCAAGCAGGCTGCCCTTGAGCTGAATCTTCAGGGACAGACAGGATTTTGCCAAACTGACAAGCAGAGATGGGAAGAGGGGTCATTCCAAATACTGGATATAAAATTTTTGAAGGCTTAGGATCTTAGCATTTCCAGTAGATACAGACAACTTTCTTAGTGTTTTGAACAAGAAACTGGATTGTTTCTTGGGCTCAGTGACCATTTTCTGGATGGGTAGATGGACAGATGGATAGATGGATACATAGATGCACAAACATGTATATAAAACTGAAAACACACAGTTTCCAGCTTTGTAGCTGAGGCACCCAATGATGTTCCTGCTCCTATAGCTGCATGGCTCCTCCCAGGGTATCTCTGCCTGAATTTCTCCAGCCTCAGGGATTCCTCCTCTAACCACCCAGTTTCCCAGCCCAGCTGATTCTGAGAGGCTGGGAAAGGTCACAGAGCTGTTTTTTCCCATAGCCCCAGTGGAAGGGTTCCTTCCCCAGGGGGCTGGGAGCAAGCCCGTAGGTGACATCATTAGATATGGGTCCGTGCTGGAATGAGGGCGGTCACCATGGGAATGTCAGGGTCCCTCCACCCCCTCACTTCCCCAGCCTCCAGACCCGATTCCTCGTTGCCATCAGTAGAACGTGCAGATTCCTCCAGACTCTTGGATGCTGTCCCGCTGCCTGGGTGCAAAGCATCACCGTCCATCTCAGAGACACTCCATTAACGTGATCTGTTGGTTTTTTTTATTTTAGTTGATTTGGCTGTCAAACCAATGCCATGTCTACATAGCCTTGATATTTTGAATAGCTCTGTCTTCATTTCCTTTTTAAAGGCCAGAATTCCATAGAGTGCTGTGGAGTTACTCAGAGTGGCCCTTGTCACTTTCCACTATGCAGCGGGTGAGTTCAGGGATGAGTGGCGCAAATGTCAACCTTCTTTCCCACCTCTTAGAACATTCCTAAACATACGACAGAGTGCAACTCAACAAGGATGGGCTGGAAGCTTTCCAAGGCTTGGAAGCTGAGCTGCACAGCCATCAGGAAGCCAGTCAGAGGCTACTCTTACCTCCCTTAGGACCTCTCTTCCCTATGAATTTACTCTGCTTTAACCCTATTGGGTTCACAGTGGACAATGACAAGTGGGCAGTATATTTATTTAAAAATACATTTTCTCGTTTTGATTAAATATGAAAATCTAAACAAACTAAAGGAATGTGAAATATCTTTAAAATTAAGCAATGAAAAATTTGATCTCCAATCTCCAATAATAGCTGTATTATAAGCTATAATGAGGTTTAAAGTTGAGCCCATGCTGAAATGATCATTTTTTCACCTTCTATGGATTTATCTAGCTGGTCACTTAAACCTACATAATTTATCTCCAACATTGAAGAATAGCTAATACTTTGTCCATCACTCCTTTTCCCCAATGCATGTTTGATTCAGCTCCAAGGACTCCAGACCTTGACCTGGAAAGGTACAGACAGCAGATGGTTCTCTGTTGCTAAGTAATATTCAACGAAGATGAAAGCAGCCCCACTTAGACCCCATACAACCTAATGCAGTAAACATAAACTCTGTTCATCGGGTTTAACTAAGATGGTTCCATTTTATCTTTATTCTGCAAACAATAAATCTGAGAGGGAAGGAACACCAATCATCTAATGGAGGGGTGGACTCAATCAAAACCGAGGATTCTGGCAGGTGTGTGTTTTATAGGTAAACTGGTTAGACACCTGCGGTGTGCTCAGAACACTCTGTCCCCTCTGTCCATGGAATCCTCCAGTCCACGCTTTGGAGCAGGGTGTGGTGGAGGGGAGTTGGTGCAGGAACATCCTGCTCAGAGATCCTTAGGGGGCCAGTGAGCACAACCGTCCTTCAGTGCACACCTGCACGGTCCAGGCCTCAGGGTGCTGGAGAGTCGATATCATACATGCCCACGCCTTGAGGGCAGTGAGTGCAGGACTTTATGTCTCAGACCACACAGGGATGCCCGCCATGCAGACCTTAGTTATTTAGTGTTTTCTTTGCTGTTCAGATCAGGAGTAATTATGCTTCTGGCTGCTGCCATTGTTTTTATTTTACTATAGTGGGTGGACTATTTAGCTAGAATTCCTAGAACAAGAATTTTTGTCCTCTTTTATCAAGTTACTTAATCTGTACATTTATTTGATCAAAAACAATGTCCAACAATTAATTGCCTTGATTCCTTGAATGAAACATGGATCTGAGCTTGAGTATCTTCCCACAAACCAGTCTTTCTTGGGCTAAGTTGGATGGTGATTCAAGCCAGGAGAGCCCCACGTGATTTTAGCAACGTGGCAGGAGTTATGCCAATTCCTAAGCTGGGGCTGTGCGTCTGGTTCTGTGCTCGGCTTGCCAGGTTCCTGTCCCAGCTCCCCGCTCGCTCCTGGGGTGACCTAAGCTCTCTGCGCCTGGGGTCATTCATGTCTGGACCACCTCCTGGGACAGTTGTAAGGATGAGGTGGGATGTTGACTGGGTTTATTGTTATTACTAGTGTTGTTGTTTCATTAATCCAGTGTAGTTTACATAGCAGAAAGGAAAGATTTTAGCTCTCAGCCTCGCTCAGTCCCTTGCCCGGTGGCTCACGTTTGTTTTGTTCCCTTGGCCCCCCACATCCCTGCTTCCACCAGGTTCTGCGTGCTCCCCCTGGGTGAAGAGGTGAAGACTATTTCCTTAAGCTTTGTATTCTGTAATTTCTTTTACAAATGCTTTAGCTTTTTAATGTGACCTGTTATTACAACGTTCACTATCCTGTGTCACTGCTCCATTGGAGTGATTGAAATGAGCATGTTTCGGCTTTTGGGTTTGTTTTTAACTTTTATTGCACTGAGAGCACTTTACATGAGATGTATCCTCTTAACAAATTTTTACGTGCACAATACAGTATTGTTCACTGTAGGCACAATGTTGTATAGCGGATCTCTAGAGCTTGCTCATCTTGAATAACTGTAACTTTATACCAGTTGAACAGCAACTGCTCATTCCCCCTATTCCCCCTCCTGCCAGCCCCTGGAAACCACCATTTTACTCTCTGTTCCTGTGAGTTTAAATATTTCAGTACCTCGTGTAGGTGGAATTGTACGGTATTTTTTTCTCCCTGTCTGGCTTGTCCCGCTGAGCATGGGGTCCTCCAGGTTTGTCCAAGTTGTCACAGATGGCAGCATCTCCTTTTTTAAGGCTGAATAATATTCCATTGTATGTATGTAGCACATTTTCTTTATCCCTCCATCTGTTGATGCACATTTGAGTTGTTTCCATACCGTAGTTACTGTGAATACTGCTGCCATGAACATGGGAATGCAAGTATCTCTTGGAGATCCTGATTTCAGTTCTTTTGGATATATCCCCAAAAGTGGGATTGATAGATCTTATAGTAATTCCATTTTTAATTTTTTTCTGAATCTCCACACTATATTCTATAGCAGCTATACCATTTTATATTCTCACCAACCACGTACAAGGACTCCAATTTTTCCACATCCTCACCAACACTTATCTTTTGTTTTTTTAATAATAGCCATCCTAGCAGGTATTAAGTGATATATCATTGTGGGTTTGATTTGAATTTCCCTAATGATTAGTAATGCTGAGCATCTTCTCATATACCTGTCTACCATGCGTCCGCAAGTTCATCACACCATACAAAATCCAGGGGCCTTCAGAACACATGGGTGGTTCCACATCAGGCTGTGACACCATTTAGGAGACACATTAGACCCTTCTGAGCTCAGGCTTCCTTGTGTACTTTCAGACAGTCAATCTCTATGATTTATCTTTGCCTTAGTCTGTGGGGAGTGCAAGTATACTCACTGGAGACTAAGCTTCAACTCAGGTTACAGACAGAAAAATCTGCCAGCCAGTGTTCCCGCAGTGAGAGGAGATATGGAAGAGGGTTTTTGAAAATTCTAAAGTTCTAGGCAAACACATGCCTGCCTTCTTAATGCTGGCAATACAGCCAGTGTCAGAAATCTGATGGATTCCTTGTAACCTTGTTAACTATTAGGGAAAATATTGCTGAATTCTGCAAGTTTGTATAAACTGTTGAATCACAAAATTTCCAGTTAGGTTACAAACTCATTTCTAATTGGGTTCAAATGTTTTTTGTTTTGTTTTTTACTTTTTAAAAATAAAGATATTGTCATAAAGATGATGTTTTTGCTCATGCTTCTCAAAAATACCCTTTTACCTGTGCGAATATCTAGAGAGAAACATTATTCAGTAAAGATGTATTAAGTCATGGTGGGCATATTAAAATACAATCTAAGTTACTCTAGCTAAAATGACCTTGTGCCTTAAGTGATTTTGACATCCCCTGTCATCATGGATTCTGTTTATTTACGTAGGATAAAGAAAAAATATGATTCTATCTACATACAGCAATCGTGGGTCTCTCATCAGCTTTTTAGTTGAATTAGCCATAGTTTTGATCGTGTTCTGCCCCCTGTTAGGGTCTCATGCCGTGTTCGACAGAGTCCTCATGCTTCCCTATGGCACAACACGGGTAGGACTGGCTAGCAAGAGGGAGGCTCAGTCAGGAGTCAGCTAAACAGCAGATCATGTCTGACATCGCCACAAACCCAAGCCGACATGAGGTTTCCAGTTTAAGCAGTGTCAGCTCACGCAGGACTGAACCCCGAAGTCCCCCAGACCAGGGTGGGCCAGCTGACTCCAGCACTCAGCAGGTCGGTCTACAGGTGTCAGGAGCCCAGCCTCAGAGTTCAGGAGGGAAACTCGAGCAGGCAGAAGTGTGCTGTGGGTGATGAGCAGTCATGGCAACGCTCGGTCAAGGATCCAGTTCTGCTGCAGATTCACGTTGTGAAACTGCACCCTTAACGCCTCGCCTGAAGTCTGGCTGCAGGTTTCCTGATTCCCCTCTTTAGTCATTTAAGTGCAACATCAAGTCTGTGTGTTGGTACTTGTTTTGATCACTTAGTGCCTGAATTTACTGAACGTCCTTCACAGTTACCTTCCTCGCGGGACCTGTTAGGCTTTCTCTATCCCACTGTCAAAAGGCAAACCACAGTCCAATTAGTAAGGAGGGCTGTGGCTTCAGCTACTTCTCCTTGGCCTTAAGTCTCATCTGGCCAACCAGGTGGTGCAGACAGCAAAGGGGAGAGCTGGCTGGGGGCTTCACGTTAACAACACCACAGTGGTTCGTGGCCATTCTCAAGGACAGGGATTTTGTATGGCACGTGGTGCCCTCTTTTGTCATCCTTGTGCTTAGGTATTTTATGCTTAGAAATATTTTCTGAAAGAATGAATAAGGGTACTGAAAAATGTAGAGAGGAACCTTCAAAATTGGATCCATCACCAGGAGCGGTCAGTGGTCCCCTGGGATGTGCACCAGTGGCTGCATCAGCGCATGCCCGGGATGCAGACTTCTTCCATGCCAGATGGTTGGATTTGGATTTCAGAGGAACTCTTACTTTGTGTCCCTTCCCAGTGGATGGTATGTGGTCTTGCTGGTCCCCCTGGTCAAAATGCTCAGCAACATGTGGCGGTGGACACTACATGAGGACCCGCTCATGCACAAATCCAGCCCCGGCCTACGGAGGGGACATCTGCCTGGGGCTGCACACGGAAGAGGCGCTGTGCAACACGCAGCCCTGCCCAGGTAAGTGGCGCCCTGCCTATGGCATGACTCTGGGACAAACTGGCCTCCTTCCTCAATTTATAAATGGTGAGTTTGATGATACCACATCACGGTAAGTACTGAAAAGGACGTGGGAGAAAATCAACACATCATTCTACAATAAAATAGTTCTCACTATGCCGTTGATTCAGAACTAGTGTTCAAAGCCTTTATCACATCAGTGGAAGTGTATACATTTTGTTATGACACACAAACTCTCTAACTAAGAAACATCCCAATTTTGCCTTGACCTTGCTAATTCACACAACTCACAGGCGGCACCTTGCTGTGCTGAGGGAGAGAAAAAGTCAGAGGAATGAGATGGGAAAGGAAAGAGCATTTGTAGAGCTCCCCCCAGGGCAGGGGGTCTGGGTGGAGGAATCACCCCCAGTCCTTTTGTTTCACTGCCTGCCTGGCTGTGGCCAAATGTCTTCCAAAGACCCCTGGACTTGTGTTCCAGCAATGACTTCTGGAATGTTGCAAGGGGACGCCAGTCACTCTCAGAGGACACTTCATCAAGGCCAGTGGGCTATAACGCAGGGGTAGCGCAATCAGAGCAAACAGAAGGCAGGATCTCAAGTCGGGAAGCAGAGGATCAAGCAAAGCCAGCAGCAGAAACTGGTTATAACAAACTCTCAAAGTGTATGACCTGATGACAGGGTCTGAAATTTTACTGTTGCAGTCAGGGTGGGCAGCAGGGGGCCCTTGCGAAGTGAGCCTCACAGGGACCGGCTCAGGCCCGTGGCTGTGGGAGCCCCGAGCTCCGAGGTCCATGGCCAGCGCAGGTGCCCAGCGATGCCCCAGCTGCCGTCCCCATCCATGGAGGAGCTTGGGTTTCTGACACGTAGGGACCACCTGGAATGAAAATGAGCCACTCTTTTCTGAGCCTAACTTTGACATTGAAACATAAACTTTTTAAGCTTGCTCCTGAAGATCTTTCTAGAAGGTTCCATTTGTATTGAAAAGTGCCTTGAAACCAGATTCTCACAGTAATTCCAAAACCCAGCATTTTACACATTTCTAAGAAAACATTGTACCATTTGCCTGGATCAAGGCACATGTTTGATTTCCAAATGTTCCCTGCCACTGCAGAGTTGATGCTTAATTTTAAAAAGGAGAAACTAACTGAACGTACATTCTCTCATTAGCACATGGGGAAAAGATCTTTTATATACTGATTAATATTTCATAGATAATATCGAGAGTTCACTTTGTTAAACTTCTTACTTAAATGTGACCATTACTCCTCTCTTTTCACACGTCTGCACTCTGGGGTGAGCTAAGCAAATCCTAGCAAATCTTCCACTCGAGGGGGATGTGTCCTTTCAGTGCTCAACTCTGGCTTTGACGCAAGACTTGTGCATTGGCCTTGAGCTCTTCAGGGACTGTGGCCGCGGATGAAGTGAATTCCACCGCAAGGGTGGCCTGGCTTCCGTATGTGGCCTCTGCACAGTTGTTTTCATAACAGAAGACAAAGTACTTGTGGCAGCTTCAAGACTGCCGTTCAGCCACCTGGGCTTTCTCATGAGCACACAGGCATTTCTCTTGCCTGGAGATTTTCAGGGATTTTTCACGAAAACACGTGAGGGCTGCTCTTTGCAGGGGGGCATTACCCCGTAGGAAATGGGGTCTGCGTTGATGATTTCCGCTCCCCCACACTCCCCATGGTCTGAACACAGCCGGGTATCCTGCGTTCACTTGTCGAGTGTCTCAGTACGATTACTATATAACATTAAGATAACATGGGGTTTAGAGAATTTATATTAACGACATTATATCTGATCAAAGATATATTGGTAAAGATACTTTTCTTCATCCGCATGGTTATTTTATTTACTGGCCGAGTTAGAAGATATGACTACGTCTTATTACGCACAGAACCATTAAAAACATACTATGAAAGCACTTGATGGTGCTTCCAGGATGATTGACCTTCGTGGTAACTGTGCCCCTGCAGAGAGCTGGTCAGAGTGGTCCGACTGGTCTGAGTGCGACGCGTCTGGCACCCAGACCCGCAGCCGCCAGTGTATCCTCCTGTTCCCTGCGGGCGGCCAGTGCTCTGGCAACACCACGGAGAGCCGGCCGTGTGTTTTCGACTCCAATTTCATCCCAGGTAAGAGCAGAGAGATTTATCAGTGTAAACAAAACCATTTGCAACATTTAGAGAAAAATGATTCATAGGTCAGAGTTTTATCTTTTTCTTTGAGCCCCTATTTGGTGAAATAGAGATGATTCTATCAACTCATCTGGTTTCAAGGGGATTAAAGTGTAGATGTATAGGTAACTGCAGATTTACACTTGAATTCAGTTCGTGAGCCTACAGTTTCTGAAGCACAATGTCTTCTATAATTTATTTACTAAAATACAATCCAGAAGATTTTGCTCAAAAAATGAAAGTAGGTCATTCGGTTATTTTAATATTAGGTTAAATGCATTGGCAATACCTTGTGTGGTGTATTTGCACAGAGAAAAAGGGGCATACTTTTTATGAAATCTTTAATGCATTCAAGAAACCCATCATTATTCTCATCTTTGAGAAGAGGTTGGTTGGCCCTCTGGCTACAGGCTTTCAATGTGGAATCAGTGCTTAGGTCTTGGTGGTAGCTAGTCAGCTGTTGTATGCTTAACTGTTGCATGATGCTGTGTAAGCGTATGAACCATTTAGCACACACCCACCAGGTGCCTTAGGATTGCAAAGACTAGCCTGTTACAAAGAAATAATAGGTATCTCGAAATAAAAATAAATTAAAAAAATTAAAAAAATAAATTTACTGATTTATGCCACCAAAAAAAAAAAAAAAAGAAAAGAAATAATAGACTTCAATTCTACGAGCCAAGTTTTCCTCCATTTGTGGAAAAGATAATAATGTTTGAGAGAAAATTATTAGCTTTAGCTTTATAAGGCATCTCAGTCATGTATGGTGTTGAACTGTAAGAGTATCTGTTGCTGTTTCCTTTTTCACCATAGACATGTTTTTAATTCTTGTTATCTAATGAAAAATCAACGGAAGAGAGAATGATGTCTCTAGACACCTAAAGTGGTGTTTTATCCTTGGGTGTTAAAACCCTTAGGAGATCTGTCCTCTCTGGCATCTTGGGGTGCATTTCATGTGTGGCATCACGAAGAGCATGAATATCTGTCGGCTCTTGAATGGGGACTTTATTTGTTCTGGAGATTTCCTTTGAGTGCTGGTGAAGTGGCCCCCTTCTGCAGGGAACGTGACAATGCGACCTTTGACGAAACAGTCTCTGAGGCAGGAACACCACAGGCAAACACTGTGTATGTGTGTGTTGGTGAGGGGGTGTCCACAGCTGGCAGGACATGACATGCTGTCATGACATAACACGCTGTCACAGAAAATCGGCACATACCCTGCTTGCAGCTCGAGGGACCATGGCATTTTCTTCCTGTGATAACGAATCCCTCTGTTTCCCAGTCAAGGCAACGTGGCCAAATGCATCACAGTTTGATTTAAAACAAACAAAGAAACTGATAGAATTTTTTTGATAATTAATCAGGCTTTTGAAACTTTACCTCACATAAACTTCAAAACCATTTAGACATTTTGTAAGTGATGCATTGATGTGAACTTCTTTCCCAACACCCTTTATACATTGTGATTGGATTTTTGTTTTTCCAGAAGTATCTGTGGCAAGATCCAGTAGCGTAGAAGAGAAAAGGTGTGGAGGTACGTGCTTCCTTTTAACTCATTTCTAATTGGTGTTCTGATACACTCCAGTCATTCCTCTTCCTGCACATTCTCTATAATGTTTCTGCTGTTGGCCAGGAATGACACACTGAAGAAACTTCTGGATCCTAAACATCTTATACCTTGATGTAAATGATAATAGTTGATATTTGACATGTGATCAGTGGTTCTCAAAGTGGGGTCCCTAGACCAACATCATCAGCACCACCTGGGAACTTGATGGAAATGCAGATTCTCAGGCCCTTCCTCTGTCTACAGAGTGAGAACCTCTCTGGGTGGGGCCCAGCCAACTGTGGCTTAATAAGCTGCTCAGGTGATCCTGATGGATATACACTTTATGAGCCAGTGATCTTGATATTAGCTATAGTTTGAGTTCCCATGAGTATAATAGAATTCAAGCAACTTTTTTATATTTACAGTACAAATCCAGGGCAGCTAGTCTCAAATCTCCAGCCCACTGCAATGACTAAACTGTAATGAGGCATAAGGTTATTCCTATATCACTAGAGGAATTTTGCAAACTTTTCGCCACCCTGAATGTCAAAAACCACATTCTCTGGTTTAAGTCCATGATGAATTTGCACTAGTGGTCTGTGCCTACAGACATCGGTAAAGTACTTGTCTGTGCTGCACACGTGTCCAGATGGAGAAGCACAGCTTATGTTCACCTTGGAGAAATCAGAGCCAGCATCTACACCGAGACCTGCCTTTTCAGACATGTGACTGATGACACACAGACTCCCATTGCTACCATAATCCACTCCACCATGGTAGCCCCAGAGAGCTCAGCCCAGCAGGCTTTGGCCTCTGCTGTGATCGCGTGGAATCCGAAGCTTTGCGTGCACGTTTTAGGAATGTACTTACCACTATTAACTACATCAATTGAGAGATTGCTGCCTGTTACATTCTATCTGTTCAGTCAGCCATCTGATCATTCATCCATTTATTCATTCAGTAACCCTTGCTGAGCAAACTTTTCTGTGTCAGTTTTGTGAGGGCCATTGAGCTTACACTGGGGACCTGAACAGCCCCAGCCCCTCTGGAACCAACAGTCATATCATCATAGACTCAGCACCTGAGAAAGGCAGTGTCTGGTGTCTGACCCAAGTCAGCTGAGGGAGTCCACTGATCCTACGTTGCTAAGGCAGGATCCAGCTACAAGATGAATATCTACCAGTTCATGTAAAAATAAGCATAGCAATTAGTGTCCTTTAATATTTTTAGATCAGTCACTATGTGCCACACACGGCATTAAATGTTTAGACGAGATGTCTCCCCTCTGGTCCTTACAAAGAGCCTTCTCAACATGCATGGTCCACAGTTTCTTATGTAAAATCTTTGGAGAGAGAGAAGGGTTTTGGAATTCAGCATTTTTCAGATTATAGAAGGGCGATATGGGGCCAGTGCTGTATTTTACATAGTGTCCCGCAGGTTCTGGGGCTCTGCTCCACAACCAGCCTCTTCAGTGATGCTGTCATGACACGCGGGCAGACTGGAGATGCCAGTATTATTTCCAGCAGTCCTGGTCGGGTTCCACAGCAAAAAGGGTCAGGTCAGGTCACACTGTGCTGTGAGATGACTGATGAGGAATCAGTCCTGAGAGATTTCATTTGGGAATTATGTAATAGGAAAGGGATAGTGGCTGTGTTTGTGTTGTTGTCTGCACTTTATAAATGGGGCTGTGAGGCTCAGAGAGCTGAGGTCACTGGCCCAAGTCCACGCAGCTAGTAAGTAATGGAGCCAGGGATGGGATCCAGGCAGTGGGATCCTATGTGAGTTTTAAACCTGAACCACTGCAGGAAAAGGGTCCTCGTGGTAAGTACCCAAAAGGATTATGTCCAGGGACCTCAAGCCATGGCAGCCCTGGTTAGGTGACACTCTCAGATAACACCCAGGGCCCAGGGCTGGTGGCTGCCCTCAAGGTCAGTAGCAAAGCCAAGTTTATAAGGAGGGAGACCGAGACAAACCCTGGGGGTCAAACAGCTGATGCCCCACAGTGTCGACTGGCCACCCATGCCTGCCGCCAGACGTTCACCCTCTGCTTCCCCCCGGCTGGACTTCCCTGGGTTACTCCATGTGAGTCCTTCAGGGGCCTGGAGCACCCAGGAGAACACGGTGCCAAGCCCATCCGCATCCTTAAATGCTGCACAAGTCAGAACCAAGACTTGAGATGCTGTTGGTTAAATCACAGGAACTTTAACTACTCTGCAATATTCAGAAGTGATTTTTTAGACCTTTAGGCTGCTGACATTGACACTCAAGCATAGGCAGTTTAGATGGATCTTACTGCAGGGCTAACAGGTAAAAACAAGCAATTACCTGGCAAGAATGTTTTGGGATGTTTAGGGAGACAAAGATAGACGTCTTTTTTCAGTTTGTTGAAAAATCAATCAAACTCTGCACAGCAAATCGGCCAATTAAAGCGTCTGGGTAGTTGGTCTAATTCCATCTTTACTGACCAAAAACAACAGCAAAGGGGAAAAAAAAAGCACATTCAAAGGAAAGAGCCCCACTGAGCAGATTCAAAAGAGATTTAATAGGCACTATTTTTTCCATATGTAGAAAAAGTGTGCTTCTCTTGAAATTTTTCATCTTAGGGAGCTATTTTTGGTTGCATGAGACACAAAGACTATAATCGTCATAAAGATGTCGGCTGGCCCGGCCTTCCCCAGGCACCTGCAGGAGTGATTCATCTGACTAATGACAAAGCATCTGCATAAGGAGACCATCGTGCGTCTCCCGTATGTCATAATGAAATACGAGTTATCGGTGCCGCAGGAAGTATTTTTATGGTCATGTGGCATTGACCCTGGGGAGTCCTGAGAGCTGAAGTGTAGAGAAATGAGAACCCATGTGGCATTGGCTCTTGCTTACGTTAAGTGCAGCTTTGATGTTACAGTAAAGAATTCTGTGGCTGCTGGTGGGATGCGCTGGGTGTCTGTCCACCTGTCCAAGTGGGAGTGCCTGACTCTAGAGGCTTCATGGCAGGATCAGGAAAGGCTGAAGATTTGCGAAGTCCTTTCACGTTCTTAAACCATTGACCAAATAAGCTAGAACAAAAGGTCGAGGGGGTTGTCAGGGAGAGGGTGGTACTTGTGGGTGTTCTAGTCACGTCCTCAGGGATTATCCGTCCCTTAGTGCTGAATGCACGGGATGCCTGTGCTAGGAATTGCGTTGTCCATGTGGAATTTCTGCGTTTAGGAGCCTGTTGTTGTTGTGGATGACAGCAAACCCGAGAGAAGGCGGCCTTTGTTCACTGAGTCCGTGGACCGCAGGAGGCAGCCGATTCATCTCCTAAGCCCTGGGTGTCTGGGAGCAGCAAAAGAGCACAGTTTAGAGGGGAAAGCCCAGCCCAGCTCCACAAGCACTGCCCAGACTTTGCCTTTGTTCCAAGAAAGGCTTGAAACTTTAAAAGCAGTGTTTTAACGACACTGAGTATCTTTTTTTTTTTCACTGTTGTTTCTCAAACACCACGTGGGTCTTGGTGTGTTGCCTTGATGTCACTCGAGCTGACATGAGTCCATGTAGGCTCATTTTTTGAATGCTTTGTATTTATAAGTCAAAGAAAATAACTAAAGAAACAGAAGAGAAGCTGTTAAATAGAAAAACAGTAGGCAAATAGAGGGTCATTTCGTGACTCTTTGAAAGATCATATTTGATTCCTTTAACACAAATCCTTTCTTTCTTTGGAGTAAACCATTTTCTTGATAAGATCTCCAAAATATTATGTAAGTGAAAAAAGTGCTACACAGGATACTATTCATACCCACCCACACACACACACACACACATGCGCACACACACACACATACATATACACACAGTCACACCTATGTGTGCAGAGTTATCTCTGGAAGGGCATAGGTGAAAACAGTTGTGTAGTTACCTCTAGGAAAGAAGAAAGATTTATTTTCCCTGTAGTCCCTTTTGCACTTTCTAATGTTATACAATGTCTATATATCATGTCCAAAAAATATAATGGAAAACTTAAGAATTTATGTAAATAGAAAATACTGTTAAATATAATGAAATAAAAAAGATGGGGTGGGGGGGGAAGCCTGGCTTGCAGGTGAGCAAGGATCCGGAGCAGCAAACGCCTCTCCCTTTGTTCGTGGGACGCAGCCGCGCCGCTGGCAGGGAACTGTGCAGGAGCATGAAGAAGATGGTCTGTAGAAACCCTGTAGACCGCAGATTATGCTGCACATGAAACAGAAGGGCAAGCCTTCAAATACAAAAAAAAAAAAAAAAGTCTTCTGCTAGTGTATTAGTGTATTAAGGTTTAAGTTATTTCCAAAAGACTGGTTAAAATCCATGAGGGCATGAACTAAAAATATACCACGCTCACTGTGCAGAGGTTTCTTGGTGGCCATGACATTTCGAGGGAAAGACTTAATTATGATTTCTTTAATTGTAGAACAGCTATGGGGCTTTTCGTTTTGTCTTTCTCTTTCCTCTAAGCACTTTGAGCAGTTAGGCAGCGTGTTCTGGTCAAGTGTGGCATCACTTTGGTCCTGTCCTCCCAGAGTTCAACATGTTCCACATGATCGCTGTGGGCCTGAGCAGCTCCATCCTCGGCTGCCTCCTCACCCTGCTCGTCTACACCTACTGCCAGCGGTACCAGCAGCAGGCCCACGACGCGACCGTCATCCACCCTGTCTCACCCGCCCCTCTCAACACCAGCATCACCAACCACATCAACAAGCTGGACAAGTACGACTCGGTGGAGGCCATCAAGGTAAGGCATCGGCAGCCCCAGCTGCAGCCAGGTGTCCAAAGAAGGCAGGTGCACCCTGGGGCTGTTGGCAAGGCTCAGTGGTGGTGGCACTGGTGACAGGTAGGGGACAGGAACGGGGTCCCCTTATGATGACCCACCTTTTTAGTTTTGCTGTGCCTGTGAAAAGATGACATCTCATATTGGGAATGTAAGTGAAAAGGGGGGCATGAAAGCAGCAACAAATGCTGGAAAATATTGGATCATTGGTCAACGTCCATCTCTGCTTCCTCTGTGCCTTCTGCATCTGAAGAGAAGAGCTCCTGCCGAGGACCTATGCACGACTGGACAGCAGTAATGAGGACCATGGGTGGCAATCAGATATCCAGGTCCATTGTAGGAATCACCACTTGGATGGCCTCCTGAGAAAATTTTTGCATTATTATAAAAACTATCCATAAATAATCGTCAGGTAGAATGAAGGCTTTGCAACTTTGCACGATGTAAAAGCTCTGTAACTGGTGTGGGGCGATGCGTTTTGTAAATTTCCCCAGTGGGTGATGAATCCAGTGTTGGACCCAGAAATTTACAGTAAATGGCCAGTTTCCTTCACATTCTAAGGAAGAAGGGCGCCAGCTTTGGACCCGACAGACCTGGCTCATGAGTCGACCCCAACACTTCCCAGCTGGGAAAACTCCTGCCAGTCACTCACACTCACCGAGTCTCCATTTTCTCCTTTTTTATAAATTGGAGAGAATGAGAATCAAATGAAGCAATTTATATAAAATACATCAAACAGTGCTTGGAGAAATAAATGTGGTTTTTTTGTTTGAAGCATTTTGTATCATGGTTCAGAGTACAAGTTACTTACTTCTTTGAACCTTAGTTTCTTCGTCTTTAAAATGGGTATAGCAATACATATTTTCATATTGTTGTTAGGTTTAAATGTCCTAAAGTACATGACACCCGGCACCCAGAAAATGATAATCGTTGTTCTTATTGTGTCCACACAAGAGGTCAGGGATGTAGCTGGGAAGACACCAAGGGCCCCTGTCTCCTGCACCCAACCTCCCTTATTACCCACATGAATAAAGGGAATTCTCCTGATCTAAGTGGAACTAAAATTTTCAATTCCTCTTAGGAGTGTGGTTCCCCTTAACATTTATAGGGAGTATTTTGTTGCCCTCTCTCTGCTATGATGATTTCCTCTGAAATCAAATTTCCCTCCTACGTGAGACTATGGGATACCTTCAGCCCTTACCGCTTCAGGTGGTTGGAAGATCTTACGTCCCAGGGGCCACGGTGTCCTGACTTAACTCCTCTCGGCCACGTGGCCTCTGCTCTCCACCACTTGGACAGAGGCACAAACAGCTGACTTTTCCCCTGGACCCCTCTGAAGCCAGGATCCGTTAGCCACCAGCACCTCCCACCACTTGGATGACAGGTCTGGGGAATGGAGCAAAGCACCAGGAATTAGTAACAGGCCCCTCACAGCCTCTCAGAGTAGAGAGGAGGAGGAGGGTGAGCTCCTTCCGTGAGTGAGAACCTGCCAAGCAAACCCCCAGAGCCCAAGAACAGGCTCCCCTGAGAGCGATTCCAACACCTCAGCTTGTCTGGGGTCACTGTTACTCCAGACGTCAGAAGGTAATTCACTCGGTCTTGTTTTCCCACTTAAGATTCAGCAACCACTTTTAAGATAATAACAAATGTTTCTGCCATGAAGGCAAAGGACCTTGAGGGCCTGGATGGCTGCCTAGTCCTTGAGTGACTCCTTCTAGAACTTTCTTCTGATACCTTTCCCAGACAGGCCCTGGACAGTTGGCCTCTGCCTCTCCTCCTTCATCTTCATTTTGGTCCTGTCAGTATTTACCCTCTACCTGGTGTAGGTCAGGCTCTTTGAAATTGCAAGTGACTTTAATAAATTGGTAATGAGGAGGGGCATCTGTCAGAAACGGCTACAGTAGTCACCTTCGAACAAGTGCAGAATGAAAAGAAATTAAGGCATTTGGAATCTGATGCATTTACCTAAATAAGTTCTGCCAAGATCTCTGATAAAGGCACCTGTTTATGGTAATCTGAAAGCTGCTTACTTATCTATTCAGTTTTATGTGATAACATTCAAAGTATATGTTAATTTGAAGTCATTAGAGTTTTAGGTTTTCTAGAGGTTTAGATTTAGGTTTTCTAAACCCCTGCTTCTCTTGGAAACTTCCTGACTGAAGTTCAAAAATAGACCCGGAGGTATCACAAACTGCCTGCCTGATTCTAGTTATTAAGCAAGTCCTCAGTGACACAACTCGTCTTGGGGAGCAAGAAAGTGAGAAAACACATTTTAAAATAATGCAGGCTTAGGAGAGAGCTCAAATCCGACATAGCAGTCTCCGTGGTCATCTTCTTTCTGAAATGATACTTACTGAGTATTCTTAAATCTTTTTTTATATTTTGCAAGCATTTAACAAAAACAACTTGATCCTAGAGGAAAGAAACAAATACTTCAACCCACATCTCACTGGGAAGACCTATTCTAATGCCTACTTTACAGATCTCAATAATTATGATGAGTACTAACAGCTCTTGTGTTTTTGGCTTCTTGTAAACCCCCAGTTCCTCAAGGCCTGAGCTCCATGACTGTCCATGTTTCTGAGGCTTCAGAGATGAAGTTTGGACACATTTCAAGTACATTTCAAGCCATGAGTGTCCCATTGCTGCCAAAAAAATACGCGTCCATAAAAGCCACAAAAATCTAAATATGACATCGTGAAAATCTGCTCTACAACACTTGATCATTGTTGAATGAGCCATGGTGTGAAATTTTTAATTGTGTTCAGCCCATTTCTCTAACATGTTCATTGTTTTCTTGAGTTTTATTTTATAAATGTGCCACCCAAGTTGGAAGGAGTCTTCAGAAATATGAATGTCTTTTGCTTTTGAGTGTAAATCTTCATGACGTTTTAATTCAAGAAAATAGGCACTTTATCTGAGAGTTCCCCTACAAGGAGTGCTTAGGTCCATAATATTCGATAAAATTAAGAAAGTGAACGTGGCCAAACAATTATTCACCGTCCATCTCCCATGCTACCCAACATGGATAATATTGTGAATTCTTGGAAGGGACTTATGTTTGGATTTGGAATGATTCCTGCCTGGGGAAGCCCGGGGATTCCACCTGGCCTGCACCTACAGAGTGGCAGTCACTGGGAGGTGCCCCACCTTGGTCCTGATGCCATTGCTGTGTCATCACAGTGAAGCATGGACATGTTCTGCAGGTTGCTGCAAAACTAGCCTTATTCTGACTTTTGGATTTCATGGCATTCCAGGGAGCTCCTTGCCATGCTGTTGGCCTGGAAGCCCACCTGTCTGGTCCACTGTAACGTTCTGAAGAGCCAATCTGTGAAATAACCACTTATTTAGCTTGTGGATTGAGTCCACACCTTCCCTTGCCCTGGAAAGAAAAATCTTGAACATTCATGATGCCAATTAGGGAAAGTATTGGAAATGCTGAGCTATAAGTGAAAATAAGTTTTTTATTTTCCATATTATGGAAAGTATTGAAAGAACTGACATTAATGAAAATCAATGTTTCGTTGTCTATCTCCCAGGTATAACCAATGTGTAGCAATTAGCCCCTACCAAGAGCATTAATGATGTGTGAAGCTGGCTCTCTGGAGCCTGTTGTCATCTTTGTGGGTCCATGTGAAGTGTTACTCCCGTACCTGCTGTCACTTGCTGCGACCAGAGCAGGAGAGCAGGCGATGCTGAGCTCTGGTGCCTTTCCTTTCATCTCAGCGCTGCCTGCCCGCCCACCCAACCCCACTTCTCCCAGCATGGAGGCACAGGTATTTCAAGATCAGAATTCAGGGTAGCTGAAAGTAAGGTTTTATTGATCCCTGTTGTCTCAACATTGATCACTGATAAGCAGTTCAGAGTTTTACAACGCCATTCACAGAAGTCCCCAGAGAAAAGAAAATAAAAAAGCATAAATTTCTCACCAACAACCCATACATAACATATGGCAGTTTGTTGAATAAGTACTAAGAGTAAGAACAAGATTGAAAATGTTCATCTGATGCCTGTGGGCATTGTGAAAAAGGGCTGGGTAGACGTGGAAACATGTTCTTATTGATAAGTGAACCTTCAGATATGTGAAAATGTATAGAAATACAGAATTTTATTAGCATATGTGTTTTTACCCTGTCCAATTTAAAGACACAATTTCAGAAAGTGTTGGAAAAATCCTGTGTTTAATAATGAATATTCTTGATTTCAAAATATTCTCATATACCCAAATTTGCAGGAACGACACTGTGTTAAAATTAGAATTAAAATAGTAGGAGGGCTCCAGAAGGTCTGTTAGACTGCACATGAATGACATCGGGGGCTTTCCAGCGAGGACTTCACGTTGCATCTCATGCCTCCCTCCTATGCCGTGTAAGAGTCATTTGTCTGGTGCAGACACTCAAAGGCACACTCAGTGGGTGAAATGTAGCCAGACAGGTTCCCAGTTGTTCCTGGGTTGGATTTTCATTGGATACTTCAACTCATCTTACCACTTTCCTGTAAGAAAAAACATCCTCACTGTGTAGCACATTTAAGCTGTTTTTTAATCCATACCCCACTCCAATATTTCCTAAATTTAAAAGGAGATTTTATTCCCCCTGAGAAAGAGGGTACAAATATTTCAAGAATGTGTCACTGGGCTTATGAAAAATGCTTTCTAAGTGACATCCAAGCTGATCTTTAATCAATCTTATACAATGACTGTGGGAAACACCCTCCCTCCACCACAGAAATTTTATGTTGTTGATAATATAAACCTTCCAGATTAGCACTGCAAAAATCCCCTCATTTCTGTTCCCTGACACTATTCTAAGGAATTCTCTGTCTCTCTCTCTGTCTCTCTCTCTGTCTCTGTCTCTGTCTCTCTCTCTCTCTCTCTCTCTCTCTCTCTCTCTCTCTCTCTCTCTCTCTCTGTCTCTCACACACACACACACACACACAGAAGAGCAATTGGTTTCGATCTGTGAAGTACGATGTGGGTATTTTGATGGCGATTGCATTGAGTCTGTAAATCACTCTGGGCAGTATGGACACTCTAACAATATTGGTTCTACCGATTCATGAGCATGATGTATTTTTCCATTTGTTTGTGTCATCTGTGATCTCTTTCCTCAGTGTTTCCTCGTTCTCCTTGTAGAGATCTTTCACTCCCTTGGTCAAGTATATTCCTACGTATGTATTTTATTTTCTTTGTAGTTCTTGTGAATAGTATTTAGTCTTTGATTTGGTTTAGAATAATTTTATCTCTATTCTAATTATTTTAACCAGCTGTGGAATAACTTTTGTTTCCCATCACTGTGTAGCTACGGCTCATGTGTACGTGCTTCCCATGCCATCCCTCTCCTTATTGCATGACGCTCACGTGGTGGCTTGTGCCACCAGAGGCATGGGCATTTCCTTCAAAACTCCCCATTTCACTCTGAGCACATTTCTATGCTGCTGCCCCTTGTGACTTACATGGGGCACCTGAACATCCCTGCTCCTGTAGGGATGTTTCACTGAGCCTGTTCAAGTAGGTTCTGACGAGAATTAGCATTAACACTGGGGGATAAAAAGAGGTTTCTTGTGTGTGTGGAGAGGTGGGCTGAGATTCTGAAGGAAATGAAGCAGCTTTACAAATAGCAAATGAGCATGAAGTCACCCCTGCCACGGAAAAACATCTCTCCCTAGCGAGGATCAGTCCACGTGGTCCAGGTGAACCATGAGGCTGGCCCCACTGACTCATGGGTAATGCCAAAGAGAAAAGAAGCAACAGTGGGAAACAGATGAGTAGGTAATGTGAAAGGTGGGGTTCTGGTCACCCCCAAGTGAGTCTTATGGACAGTCCCCAGGAGGTCATGACCCACATGCACAGTCCTGTGGGTCTGAGCCTTGGACTCTTCCAGGACCAACTGCCCAGAGTGCCAGAGTTTTAGCCAAGGGGGTCCTTATTTCCTTATTTATCTGAAAAATAATGAAAACCATGGAAGTCAAAGCCTATTTCATTGTTTCCACTGAAGTCTGGTAGAATTAGTGGGTCATGCCATCAAAGTCATGGACAAAGTGTCAGCATGGGGTCTCCGTGTCTCCAAGATGTCATCTAAGGGGATATGTTAGAGTGTAATTGAATATCAAATGAAATATCAGATTGTAATTCTAGTTTTTATCAAATTTAGACTTGATATAACTATATAAATTCTGCACTCAGCTGATCACTTTGTCTAGACATAGCCTTGATGGTACTTGATTTACAAATATCCTTATTCTTCTTTACAGTATTTTTCTTGTTTTTAGAATAAATCAGAAATGTATTCCCAACATCGTTAAGCTGCTTTTTCATCAACTTTGCCCCCAGGCTGTCGACTTTCTTTAACCTCAGGGTGTCCTGCATACTTCGGTGGGATTTTATTGTGTGTGTCATTTTGTAGCAACTCCAATGAATTCAGCATTTCTGTCTGTAAAGATGGCTCTTGGGCATCTAACCAGAGGCATCAAGTACCAATGCTTGATAAATGAACTGCAACTGCATCAAAGCAACCATTTTCCACACGGTGACGGGCCTGTGCCCAAGTACTACAGCTCCGATAGTCAATTTCCATGAAGGTGTTAATGACCAATGACCATAACTCATAGGCAAACTCTCGGCCATTCTTTCGATTTGACACAAACTGAAGTTCACAGATGGCGTTGGACATGCCCAGCCATCCATGTGTCCTAACCTCTCCATTCATGGGGCCCCTGGTGGTTCATGTTGACATGACATGGCCAATGTCTGATTACCTAACTTATCTGTTACTGGACACTAGAAGCCTTTCTGAGCACCCTGCTTCCTTGGGCAATGGGTGTGAGATGGGAGAACATAGAGTAATATTCACTTTGTACTAAGAAATGCACAGAAGGGAATACCATGCATAGGGTATTACCATGTAGGATAAAATATTTGGAGGGCACCATTGTGGAATTGATTTCTGCTATTCTCCCCTATTGAGGTCATTAATTATAATTGATTTAAACATGTTTTATAACTTTAAAAATACTGAGCCAATGCATTCAGGTTATCTACTTTGATAAACTGATAAAACAAAAGAAAATATATTGCTTTAATCTTTACTGCTTTTTTTTTTTTGGGAACTTGAAACGTAATGAATGCGACATAATGTTGGACTATTGGTGGTGATGTCTTAAATGACTCTTCCATACTCCATTTTTATGGACTTATATTAACGATGCATTATACTCATTTTTTAGCAGATGGATCAAAGTTTTATTCAACGGTCATCTGCTGCTTTATCAGAAATTTGGTGCTGTTACAGAAGCATCAGGAATGACCCGTTCTCCTCTGAAATATACTTCACACTGCAAGTGACTAGAGCATCATCAAAACCAATTTCAAAGCCAGGCACAAAGTGTACAGTTCCTAGTGAAAGTTGTCTCAAAACAGTCTTTTTGAGAGATAATATTAGTTCTGCCATAGAAGACAATCAATCTTATTACCCATGATCAGACTCAATATCAATTCTCACTCAAGCAAA